CCCCGTTTTTACAGGGCTTCGTTGCTGGCTCATGGATTTGAACCTGTTTTTAGCCTGCCTAAATCTTTCTTCAAGTGTGGTGCTTAGAACTCGACACACCAGCTGAGGTGAAGTCTGACCATAAGAGAACTTTGTGTGTTTTGGAAATTATATATTTTTTGGCTTCATCCTAGATTTGCCTTTCCTGGTTCCAAAGCCACAAAGCCATCACCACAGACTTCATCTTATGTGCCTATTAATTGTTGGGTTCATTCCTGTTTTCATTTCATAGAGTTTCTTCAAGGAGAATCACACACCCTTCCTTCAAAAGAAATATCAGGCATCTCTCGCTGTCGAGCTGCCAAAGAGGAACGCTCAAGGCCATCCTAAACTTGCGGTTTGCAGGGAGATTATTGTATGCCCAAAGATGGAAAGATTCGACATTACCCACAGTGGAGGAACGGACGGTGAAGATGATGGAACTTGCAGAGATGGCCAAACTGATGTCTTTGATCAGAGGAAAGACAATCTAAGTTTATTGCTGACTGGAACCCCCTTATTGACTTTTTGCGTGAAACAGAAAAAAAATGAACTTTTGATAGATGGTTTCGAGGATTACAAAAAAAAAGATTATAGAAAAAAATGAAAGTTATGCTGTAACCATAGAGTGAGAGGTAAATTAAATGCATATAAATTTATATGTACGCTTATAACTGCTGTAAAGAAAATCAGAAGCTATTTATTTATATTTTCTTTCTTTTTTTCCTGCACTTTTGGCTTTGTCATTTTTCTTTTCTTCTTTTTTTATTTTAAATATGAGTTTCTGTGAGTTTTTACCTTTCTTAATTAAAATCTTAATAGAGTAATACGAAAAGAAAAATAAATACAGGGAAGAAAGACAGAAAAAGCTGAAGGGATTCACGGTGATATTAACAGGTGTGAAAATTAATTTCAGCATTCCAATTTTTTTTGGACCCTCCAATAAAATATTTACCAATCAAGAGTCCCTCTTACTGGGAATGACTGAGGCACCCTTCACTTGGCACCCACAATTTGGGGGGAGTGAACTGGGCTGCCTTCTGACATAAAATCCCACCTTGCCGAGTGAAAGACGTGCCTTTCATCCATTTTTTTTTTAAATATGAGAGGCATCCCTCTTGCTTACCTGAAAAGTTCCCGGATCTCTTTCACGGTGGCCTGGAAGGGGATATTCCGCACCAAAATCTTGGAATTCGCCTGCTTCCTGCTGACTTGCGTCTTGCGTGCTGATGTCACCGTGGACCTAATGAACCAAGAGAGGTGGCATCGGTGCCATGCTATTTTCTTGAATCAAGCGTGAGACGGAAGCCGAGTCCAGTTGGCATTTTAGCTCAAGGAGAGCTCTGAGTCTATTGAGGATTGAAAGGGGCCAAACCATCCAGCATCTGCCAACCTAACAGAGTATTAACACCAAGAAGCAACTCCCATCATGGTCTGGACCAACAGAAATTGCAGTTCCTCCAAATCCAGAGGCTGTCAGGTTGATGCTAAGGGATTCTTGTTCGATATCTGTGATGGTATGTGGGAAAGACCTTGGGAGACTGGGTCAAGAGACGCTGCCAAGGGAACAGTCAGATAAGAGACAGCATAGCCTGCAACAAGAGGTTCAGAAAGGACCCTCCCTAGTTTCTTGAGCTGTAAAGGAAACTGGGGGAGAGATGTACTTCCAGACTTGCGTGATTTGGTCAATGTAGCTTTACAATAAAGTAGAATTAGCTCATCTGGTTGTGATTCCTATCCAGTTTACCCTGGAAGGCCGACATCAACATCTCCCTCCCACCCCCTCTCCTTTACAGCCCAAGAAACTAGGGAGGGTCTCTTCTGAGCCTCTTGCCCCACCCACGATCCAGCTGTGGGCTATGCTGTCTCTTATCTAACCACTCCCTTGGCAGCTTCTCTTGACCCAGTCTCCTAAGGTCTTTCTCACATTCCATCACAATATCTGAGATCAAAAAGGGTAGTTTCAAACCTGACTTCAGGATTGGTGGAACTTGGAATCAGACCCTCCCAAACTCAGTTGCCAGGATGCATTTAGGCCCTGCGGAAGGCATTTGGATGAAGATTCTCCAACCTGGCCTGAACACGATGAGGAACAGAAGTGACTCTTCTCATCAAGATTGAGAAACTTACTTGATGGCTCTTTCGGAGATTTTCACTTCCAGCCGATGGCCATCCACGGAGCAATCCTGAAGAAAGCAAATTTTAATGATGCAATGGGACTGCTGGAAACCTTTCTTTCAATAAAATGTTGCAACGGGCACCCAACGAACTAACTACAGAAACAGGCTGTCTGTCACACTGATACAAAGGGGGCCTAATGAATTAGAGAGCAGGGTTTCAGCACAACATTTTAAAGAGATGTTGTTAACATAAAGGTCAAGTGTATGATTGATAAACTAGACACAATGTAGGAGCGTGCTGGGTCCAACAGATCAATCTCCCTTAGCTGGGATGTCCCCCGTTCATTGGTGGCTGAGGAGAATTAAATCCATCACAGCTGGAGGACACCAAGTTCAGGAAGGCTGGTCCTTGCCAGCTGAAAATGAAAGGGGAGCAAAGAAGGTAGCAAGATTGAGATAATAAATCAATAATGTTTACTATGCTAAATAATATTCCAAGGTGGAAAGGGTTATCCATGAACTCTATTTCAGTCCTTTCAGGATCCATCATGGAGAAACCTTGAAAGGGACATAAAAAGCAAGTAAACCAAGTGTGCCTAGGAACTTGCTTTATCCTAGGCAAAGCCACCGGTCCATATTTCCAATCACCTTTTCAAGGACTTTGCCAGAACGTCTTTCCTACCCCCCTGGCTTTTTCCAGGAGGGGCAGATCTCGTCTGTGCAAAATAAATGTTGTCTTGCTTCGGTCCATCAGCCACCACGCAAGAGGCCACCACTGTGTCAGCCCTGCGAGGTAGTCCAGACAAGAAGCACCAACCATGAGTACTAACATGACCTTTACATTAACAGGATCTTGCAAAGCTGATAGTATTTCTCCCCTCCTTTCCTTTTACTCTCCAGAAAACTAGGGAGGGTCCCTCCTTCCTTCTACGGGCTGAGATACCTTTTGCGTGACGGTTGTCTAGGCTGTGGCTCTTCCTCCTGTCTCCCAAGGGTCATTCCCACAGACCATTACACACCGTTACCTGTAGTTGCTTCACAGCTCTCTGGGCATATTCCGGCTTCTTGTATTCCACAAATCCAAACCCCATGGAGAGTAGGTTGCCTAAGAAGAAGGCCAGAAGAACATCAGAAATCGATTTACGCTAAGAGACCGCCCTGGTCCTCCTCTAGCTTAGGGTTAGCTTGCTGTGAGTCAGATCTCTATCTAACAACCTGGTAGATGAGATTGTTTAATCGAAGAAAGCCAGAGCATGCCAACCCTGCAGGATCAAAGTGACTGGACAGATGTTATGTGTGACAGGCGACCCTGCAACTAACAATATAAGAACAGAGTAAAGGCGTACATAAGATTTGTTTTATACCACCCAGAGTCACCGTGTGAGATGGACAGCTATATAAATATGATAGATAGATAGAGAGAGAGAGAGAGAGAGAGAGAGAGAGAGAGAGAGAGAGAGATCGAACATTTTGTGGTTTACTAAGCAAAGATACAAGCCTAAAACAGTTTTCCCTTCAAAGCATCCAAGAAGAAGCAACTAGCCTCACCTGATGGCTGAATTCACACAACCCCATTTCAGCCTGGACCAACACATTACCTGACCTCTGTTACGTTATTACAATATATTATGTTGTGTTACGGACTAACATGTTAAGTGACTCGGCTTCTGTTCTTCTGTTGAGCTTTACAACTCCATCCATCCTGCAAACATTTCCTGGTTCCCCCTTTCCTTGCTTTGCACCCCCAGTTCTGGCCCTGCTTCCCTTCCTTCCATAGGTGCTGCAAGGGTTCTTCAGTCTCTTCCTCTTCCTTCAGAGAAGCAGCAACGCTCATCCCCGCAAGAATGAACAGAGAGATGGATGAATGATAAGTATTTCCACGTACTTTGGAAAATGTAAAGGGACACCATTGCTGTGGGGAATAAACTTAACAGGTGGGAAGGACAGCTGTTAAGAAACAAATGTACTTCTGTCAAGATATCCCCACCACTTCTAGCTTCTTGGTCAGTCTAAGGCAGTGTTGTGCAAACTTGGCCACTTTAAGATGAGTGAACTTCAACTCCCAGAATTCCCCAGGCAGCATGGCTGGCTGGGGAATTCTGGGAGTTGAAGTCCACTCATCTTAAAGTGGCCAAGTTTGGACAACACTGGTCTAAGGCAACATGAGTGAACTTCAACTCCCAGAATTCCCCAGGCAGCATGGCTGGCTGGGGAATTCTGGGAGTTGAAGTCCACTCATCTTAAAGTGGCCAAGTTTGGACAACACTGGTCTAAGGCAACATGAGTGAACTTCAACTCCCAGAATTCCCCAGGCAGCATGGCTGGCTGGGGAATTCTGGGAGTTGAAGTCCACTCATCTTAAAGTGGCCAAGTTTGGACAACACTGGTCTAAGGCAACACTTCCCAATTTTCTGCCTAATGTTGGGGTTGGATGTCAGCTCTTATAATTCCCAGATAGTTGGTCAACCAGTGGGGCGTTACAGGAATTGAAGTCTAACACACCCCCAGTACAACAGAACTCCGGGGACAAAATCAGAGAACATACCAGCTTTATCTTTCTTCTTCGAGATGGTGCAACTGCGCACGACGCCAGCTTTGGAAAAAACCTGGAAGAAGAAAGATAAATGTGCTTTAGCTTTATTCCCCTGTATTATACCTCCCTGCTTTTCTACCGGGGAGAAGGACAAAGGGAGAGAAAGTAACGAAGATGTTATGTGACAACAAAAATCTACACTAGCAAACTTATGTTGCCAAGTGAATAGTCAGATAAGAAACAGCAGAGCCCGCAGCTGGATTGCGGGCAGGGCAAGAGGCTCAGAAGGGACCCTCCCTAGTCTCTCAGGCTGTAAAAGGGACAGGGGGAGAAATGTATTTTCAGACTTGCAAGACTGATGTCAGCCTTGCTAGATAAACCAGAAAGGAATCATGACCAAATGAACTAATTCTACTTTATTGTAAGGCTACATTAACAGAATCTTGCAAGTCTGAAAGTACATCTCTCCCCCCGTCTCCTTTACAGCCCAAGGGAGGATCCCTTCTGAGCCTCTTGCCCTGCCCATTATCCATCTGTGGGCTATGCTGTCTCTTATCTGACAGTTCCCTTGGCAGCGTCTCTTCGCCCAGTCTCCCAAAGTCTTTCCCACATACCATTACAGAGTCATGAAATTGCAGAAAACTACCTCTTTTAGAGTGTCCTCTGTAGTGCTGAAGTTGAGGTTTTTAATGAAAATGGTACACCCTGGAAGACTTTCTTCTTCTTCTTCTTCTTTTTCTTCTTCTTCCTCCTCCTCTATTTCCTTCTGAGCATCACTGTTCTCAGAAATCCCTACAAGAGAAGAGAGGATAGGTAAATCTAAGGCAGAAAATCCTTCGGACTCAGCTTGGCTTTCAAAAAGGTTGATGTTACAAGTCAGCAACCAAAGGAGTGAACCCACAGAGCAGAGGCCAACTCCTCTAGGGTGGTTCAAAGAAACAAGAGCAGGAGGCATCTGTTGGCTGAAAAAAGATACCAGTGGAACTGTGGAATCCAAAAATTCTCATCTAAAGCCAAGGAATGAATAATTGTACCACAGTGCTCACAGGCTGTGTCAAGGAGGTAGCCCAAAGGCACTAGTCCTCATGAAAATCCTAAAAAAAAGCTGTAGTACTAACAGATCTAGAGGATGTCAAATTAGAGAGGATTGTCTTGGTTAGTCTTGAAGTACTGCAGGCATAGAGAAAAAGAAACGACGTGTTGGCATGTGAATTTCACCTCTTAACACAAATACATGCTAGGACTTTTTCAGCTAGGCACCATTTCATATGACCAGCCTTTTCCAACATAAAGTCTGAAAAGATAATGTATGAACACATTACCTATTAGATAGGTATCTGCCCTCTTTTTTGAGCCCCAGGAAAAGAGATGAGATTAGAGCTGGGGAAAGGGGGACCCTCACCCAAACTACAGAAGTGTGTATGTAAGAAAAGGAGTTCATCTTATGAAGCTCTTTTCTGCAGAGAAATTTATCTCTGTTTCTCCCCTGGATACTGGAGGCTTACGGCCTTATGAGCTGCAAGATTTCTACATGCTTTGGAAATTAAAACCCTTTATTTAAAGGTCTCAAATGTGGGAAAGAGAGAAACTATGTGCTGGGAACAATATATGGGGCACACCCACAGCTTTAGCTTTCTCTTTCATTCTCCCTCCCTTACAAAACAAACACAATGCTTTTTTTTTTTTTAATCAGTTTTTAAAAACCAAAGGAGAAGGGAAGGAAATGAACAAGGAAGGGGATGTTGCTGGAATGAGGAATCTGGGAATTCATAGCAGAGTTTCAAATCCTGAATTGACAGAGAGGAACTGACTCATACATTGTGTTAGGGTACAGTTTAATTATGATTAAATAAACCATCTGCTTAGCTTCACACAAAGCCATAAACCATAGCTTATAAACAAGGGTAAGAGTCACAGGAGATGCTCAACCGCTCTTTTTTACTAGACATTTCTAACGTAATTCAGCCCTTGCTGGACCAATCTAGCATCCTGCCAAGATACTGGTAACCAGTTCGGGCTCACCGATGATCTGTCTAGCCAACTGAATGTAGTCTTCATTCCAGAATGAGGTGCCCCACGAATTGCTAGCATTCGTAAGGGTGCTCATCGGAACAAACAATAGAAATTAGAAGCTGGAAGACAAAACTTAGAAAAACAGTGCAAAAGCTAAGCCTGCTCAAGGTCACCCCAAATGTACCAGGGACAAGGAGAAAGGCTGGTGGACAGGAAACATGAAATGGGAAGCTGGGGTTGGAATCGATGCTAGGAGACAACCGCTACCATTGCAATACGGTAAATATCGATTACGAGAGGCGTTGGCAATGTTTATGTAATCTTAAATATGTCAAATGTTGCTGATCATTATAAAATATTGTATAAGAAATAGCAGAAACAGCAGTTAGAGATCATCATCTAAGGCGGGGTTTCTCAACCTTGGGAACTTTAAGATGTGTGGACTTCAACTCCCAGAAACCCATGAAGAATCCATGAAGAAAAGAGAAACAGGAAAAAATGTATGAAGAAAAGTTAAGAAAAGGGAGAAAGATAAAAGAAAATGTGCAAGTAACAGTACAGATAGAAAAAGGAAAAAAGAAAAAAAGATTTAAAGGAACTACGTCTGATCTTCTTTACAGCAGTTACAAACAAATTGATTGCTTCTCCTACCTCTTTAAAGTTACAACATGGTTCTCTTCTTCCCATATTCAACCCTTTTTAATCAGCAGATCCAAAAATCACCAACTCATTTTTCTCCCATTTTCAGCAAAAAGTCCATAAAGGGTTTCCAGGTGTTTATAAAAAGTGCTTATTGTTTTATCCCTGATCAAACAGGTCAATTTGGCCATTTCCGTGAATTCCACCACCTTCATGATCCACTCCTCACTATCTTGACTTTTTTTGACTCTCTCCCTGCAGACACTACTGTTCTTGGGTCAGCAGATCCAGATTTGTCAAGATGCTTCATTTCCTTGTATTCTAGGAGTCTTTAATACTGTATCTTCTGGGGAAAAACCCACCGAACACATAACCAGACAGAAGGGATTCCACGTCGGCCACATCAGCTCCCCAAACATACCTCTCTGGGTCTGTTCCTCGCCTTCCGTTTGCTTTTCAACCTTGGACGCTTTTCCCCCCGGACTGGAAAAGACCCCCATGGGTGCCCATTCGAGGTAGAGAGGGATATGCTGGAACTGGGCAAGGGAAAAAAAAAATCAGTGCAAAGAAGTTAAAGTGAGCCAGGAAAAATGTTTGGTACAAATCAGCGCAAGGATAAAAAGTGGTGTCTGATTCGATGATGGCCCCAAGATCTGTTTAAGTTGGGGGGCCAACTAATGCTGAAAAGTGGGTAGGATATCCAAGTGCCCTACAGAGTGGCCATCATCCAATTGCCAGGCCTGGCTGCCACCGGGTTCATGCCACCTTCCCTGCCCCCTGTGCCCATACCTTGGAGTAGGCCAACTTGGTGAATGCCCTCTTCGCTTCGGTGGGTTCCAGGAATTCCACGAGGGCTGTCACCCCTCCTTCTGGAAGCAGCACACGCCCGAGGTTCCCAAAGCTCCCAAAAACCTCCTCCAGCTCCTCCACCTTCGTGCCAGCAGGCAGGTTCTTCACCAAAATCACCGTCTTGCTCCGCTCCCCAGCAGCCTGGAAGAAGGGACAGAAGGGGAGAGAGGCTGCATTGCCAGCCGAATGGTTGAAGAACCCATTCCTACGTTCACCCGAAAGGCTACGAAGGCAAAGGATCTTGCAGCCCAAGAGAGGCGCGCTTGCCGATTTGAATGCTTCTCCGTTGGGAACGCCTCCCTGCGTTCAGAAAGCGGGGGGATCAGAGAATCGTAGCTTTCTGAAATTTCTAGCTTCTGGAGCACAGGAATGTTTTAACAAAATGCGCTCTATTGAGTTCTCTTTTCTGACAGCTTCCACCAACTTTCGGGCTGATGTCACCAATTTAGGGAGAAAGGGCAAGGGTTTGAACGGCCACCGGTCTCTTACCTGGCTGAAGGAATCCAGACAGACGCCGTTTTCAAGCAGGAACTGGCGCACATTTTGAACGAGCTCAGTCTCCCCGAGAGCCACCCTCACGGCCACGCTCCCCTTGCCCTCCTGTCAAAGTGAAAAGGCGGCTCTCTTAAGATGCCTACAGTGGTGTGAGCCTCCAACGACCAGTGAGACGGATGGAGGAGTTGCAGGGAAGAAAGCAATTATACGTAATTCCAAAACTAACAAGCCCATCTTCATCTGTTGGAAAGACCTCAAAAGCAAGAGCGAATTCACTGTCTCCCTACCTCATGAGCTCCAGCAGTAGCAATTCATTTTAAGTTTTTTTCTAGCATTCAACAAAATTCTGCTTTCCTGTAACTTCCAGAGTGAGCCAAACCTTTCAAATTTGCGCTTGGAACAAGTCAAAGATATGATAAAATGGGCTAAAAACCTTGGGTATGATATACCAATGGAACCGTGGGAGAATACGTAGATGAAAAGACTGAAATTTATATTGTGTTATAACCTTAGAGAGAATTTTTATAAAACGGTGTATCGTTAGTACCCGTCACCAGAAAAATTATGTAAAATGTATAAAGGTACTTCGAATTTATGTAGGAAATGTGAACCACAAGAGGGGACTTTTTACCATGTTTGGTGGACTTGTAAAAAAAAAGGCTCAAATTCGTGCTTGGACGGCTTTTGCAACAGAGAAATCACAACACTTGCAAAGTCAAAACAGCCTGCTTTAGAAGTAATTACTTCATTAATTAGAGAAGAAGTAATGACACGCATGAAAACAGCTTTTTTTCAAAGGGGCAGCGATAGAAATGGCTACAAGGAATACGGAAGGAAGTAAACTCAAAACCGCTGCTTCCCATTTGCAATGCTTGACACACCCTTTCCAAAGACCGCAACTTTGCACCTCATTTCTGAGATAACACAAATAAATACAGTGGAAGCTGGAGTTACGAATTTAATCCGTTCCGTGACTCTGGTTGCAACTTGAATTGGTCGCAACACGAGGCAAATTTTCCCATAAGGTTCAATGTAATTACCGTTAATCCGTTCTGGCATCCGCGGATCATGCGTCAGGGGTGGAAAAATGGCCGCGGACCACGCGTCAGGGGCGGAAAAACGGCCCCGGACCATGCGTCAGGGGCGGAAAATGGCCCCGGACCACGTGGCACGGGCGGAAAAATGGCCGCGGACCACATGGCACGGGCGGAAAAATGGCCGCGGACCACATGGCACGGGCGGAAAATGGCCGCGGACCACGTGGAACGGGCAGAAAATGGCCACGGACCATGTGCAACGGGCGGAAAAATGACCGCGGACCACGTGGAACGGGCGGAAAATGGCCGCGGACCACGTGGAACAGGCGGAAAATGGCCGCGGATCTGGTTCGTAAATCGAGGTGAGTTCGCAAGTCGAGGTAAATTTTTGGGGCCGGAGCTGGTCGTATCTCGAAAAATTCATAAGTAGGAGCATTCATAACTAGAGGTACCACTGTATGTTATTCTCAGCTACTCCTTTTTAGGAATCTGTCATCATTCCCCCTCCAGAGGGAACCAGGTTTGAGAAAATTACAATATTGCAAAACCACCACCTGTGAATGAGTTAAGGCAGTGTTTCTCAACCTTGGCAACTTGAAGATGGGTGGACTTCAACTCCCAGAATT